CTAGAGATTGGGAATATAGTCTTTGATGGTAATATGATATCCTCCTTTTCAAAATGTGGTTGAAACTTTTCCTTAGCTTTAACACAGTATGGTTTTGTGGGAAGTGCTTTATCTACGAAATTGTCTGTGTATAATACCACCTGTGGTAGTTTTAATTTAATTGGCCCCCATAAGCTCATGGGAAGTGGCACTATTAGGGTGTATGGCTTTTTTGGAATAGGTATGGCCTTGGAGCAAGTGTGTCAGTCACTGTGAGGGTGGGCTTTGAGATCTCATACAAGCTCAAGTCACGCCCACTGTCTCACTTCCTGTTGCCTGCAGATCAAGATGTAGGACTCTCAGCTTCTTCTCCAGTACCATGTCTGCCTGCACGCCACCATGTCACATCATGATGATAATGGACTAAACCTCTGATAATGTAAGCCATCCCAATTAAATGTTTTTCCTTTATAAGAGTTGCCGTGATCATGGTGTCTCTTCACAGCAACAGAAACCACTAAGATACCTCCTAGTACAAAGTGGTCACTTATATGTTAAGGTTCTATTTCATCTTCCAAACTCAGTTCAAGTGGTCCCTCTTGAGTTTTCCTTGTCATACTAAATACATACAACTTACACCTTTGAACAACTGCAGGTGTCACTGGATACTACATATTTGAAGCTTAAATGACCTACTAATCTGGTATCTGTATTCATGTGCTATAACTGGCTGGTAAGTCCTAGAAAGCATATTCATTTCCAGTGCCCCCTGTCATGCCTTGTTTTTATATGTCCTTACCATATTTTTGACTGGCTGATTTATTTTTCAACAAATGACCAAAAGGAGATTTACATATCAAATTTTTATTTAACTATTCTCATTTGGATTTTTGGGCGTGAGAGACAGAAAAGAATTTAGACAAATAGGCAATAAGAAGTCTTCTTAGGGATCTCCCATGCTAAATAATAAAAGAGAACTTAAGAGTAAAAAGCGAGCAAAACGCCACTGTTCTCAATTCTGCTGGAAAATTTTAGATACATATGAACTGTAGTAAAGGAATTAGTATGTAAAAAATGAATGGGAAGGAAGTTGGGAGAAGAGTTGCTATGACAACATATGGGTTCAGATCCTGCCTGTGTGAAGTTCACTTGCTAGAAGCCTCTAAATATTCCACTTCCATATACTTTGCAGCTCAGTTTTAATTAACTTTTCAGGAAATCCAAGAGTTTTACACCAGTTCTCTCAACTGACAACTACTTAACTAGTTTACTATGTACTCATAAGGGGCTTTGCAAGCACTTAGAGTTGTGTCAGTCAACCTTGGTATTACAGTACATGATTCAAAATATTGTGTACGAAAGATAAACTATGAGTAGGCTACCAGCATGGTTTCTATAAAAACAAGTGGAATTTTGTAAAATTCAATATGAAAGAGGCTGCATCTAGATGTAAAAGTCTAGAGAGAAATCGTAAAAATCTATAACAACTATAAACTTATATTCCTTCACAAGGATCTAGCTTTTAAAGAAATCAAGATGAAAATCCACCGTCAAAGAACACATGATCATAGGTTTGGTTTATACAAAGAAGAGGGCAATGACCACTGTTGAGCCAGTTCCTATGTAAATGTTAAATAATGACTCTATATTACTGAGTAGTGAATAAGCATAAAGTACATGCCTAAAAAATTGAGATATATATGATATATAACTTTTATATGTAAATTGTTAGTGGCATTTTTTCTGACTACTGTGCTAAATAACTAGTCTTCTTCAAGTTAAAGTGGCTACTTCTGAATTTCACAAGTACGTTATTTAAGAACATCTCATGGAGTCCCAGTGTCATCAATGGCACGTGTATTCAACATTATTCAATTTTATGGAGGATGAATTAATACACAGGTCACAACAGATGGAAAACAAGAATTCAGACCATGACCTAATTCTAAAAGCAACTATTCAGCACTGCTTTACTGATGTCTTTCATACGTTAATGTTTTCATGTGTGCACGTGTGCACGTGTGTGTGTGTGTGTGTGTGTGTGTGTGTGTGTGTGCGCGCGTGCGCGCGTGGTGTGTACACATACACATACTTGGGCCATAGCACATGTTTGGAGGTCAAAGGACAACTATGTAGAGTTGGTTCTCTCCCTTCACCTGTACCTGAATCCTGGAATGGAACAGGCTTACTCAACTTTTACCAGATGAATTTCTCTGAGACCATAATGTTTTTTAGTATAAAGTACTATTTCTATACTATATACTATACACTATACTTTATAGTATTTATATAGCATATAGTGAGGTCCAGAAAAACTAATTGTAAGTTCCTAAAGAAGAATCAAAACATCAAGCAGTAGCTTAAAAAAAGGGGGGGGGGGATCACCTCATTTTCTTTCTTAGAATGCTTATCAGTAAGAAATGATTACAGCAAAACATAAAAACTTAGGCTTTTACAGTCTGGAAGGCTAATGCCTCAGTGAAAGTAGAAAGGCAAATGCAATCACACTGAAAGTTAAAACTTTAAAATTCAAACTGATCAAGAGTTAAGGAGTGCAGAGTTTCTAAACGTTTCTAATGCTGCAGCCCTCATGTTGACTCCTACTTTATAAAATTATTTTTGTTGCTACTTCCTAACCATAATTTTGCTAGTTATGCATTGCAATGTAAATATCTGATATTCAGGATATCTGATATGTGACTCCCGAGAAAGGGTCATGAGAACCACTGTTCTAGGGAGATAGGTTGTTCGCTTGTAAGACTTAATACAGCAACTGGCTGCCTGGCACCAAGTGGCCCAGGCTGGCAGGCACCACTACGATGACCAGGTATGTGGTGGAGAAATGGGAGAGAAGGAAAAGCAGCGTGGTTTGCGCACTATGGAGAGAAGCGGAACTGAAGACTTGATGGAGGTGAGGAACAGGCTGATATGGATGGCCTACACTGTTACCTGAGGCCATAGTGATGTCTAGGTCTGAGCTGCAGCTGAAAGCCATGTCTAGGTCCGTGGCCCTACTGCAGCCATGGTCTGTGTAGATGTCAGTAGTCCTTGTTACCACCATGGGGGTCGCAGGGGATGGGATGGGAGAGCTGATTGCACTCCTTGCCAGCTGCCCTCAGAGGGAGAGCAGTTCTAAGTGTCATGGGTGCAAGAGAGATGGCTCTGGGACCCTTTACAGCCCTAGGAAAACTGCCTACCCCCTCACTGGCTGCCACAACGGGAGGGCTGGCCCTGCATGTGAGAGAGCTGGTCCCATCCCTCACCATCATGCAGGAGAGCTGGTCCTCAACCCTTGCCTGAGGAAAGTGGTTCCGGTGGAAGCCCAGACTGACCAATTCAGCTACCACTCAAGTCCACATCCAGGGCTTTGAGTTGACATACCCTAACATCTACCCCATCTGTGACCTGCTGGAATGTGTAAAGGGACTGGTCCTATGGAACCATAGCCCCAGGATCTCCATGACTTGGAGCAACAGCAGGATATCCGAAAGAAGTTTTGGTGAGGGTCCAGTATTGATAGTGTAGCAAAAACCAGAGGCCTTGAACCAGACCAATAACCCATTGCAATCAGCATCTGCAATTAAAGCTTTTGGACAACACTCTGTGATACACTGCAGCTCCCAAGGCCACTTGGGATAAATGAACACGTGATGGAGAGGCAGGAAAGATAGAGCAGTGAATTGATTTTTTTGTTTTTCTTTTCTTTTTGGGGGGAGTCTACAAGGTTGAGCGCAGACATGGAAGGAATGGGAAATGAATGGGATTGAGGTGCATGATGTGAAATTCCCAAAAATCAATACTATAGATTGCCTTCTGTAAAGATTCTAAAATTGTTTTTTTTTAAAGGTTTTTTTAAGGCAAAAATTTGCCCTGAAGACATTTTTCTGTCACACGTTCTCATAAAAATAGTTCGGTAAATATAGTTTTCCTCTCTCTTATTAACTGTTACTGACATAGTATAAAAACATCTGCATATTTTCCCAAATAACATGTTAAATAACTAAAAGTGTTTATTGAGTATAAACACAACCTAAGATTCTATAATCAATGACTATTAGCATGAATTATGCTCATAGAAAAACCACTAAACAATTTCTTAAATGATAGAAAAAGTCAGACTAGGAACTTTTGTTCTATTTTCCCTTTGGACAAAAAAAAAAAAACCTCACTAAAAGAAGGAAAAAGAAAATAAAATACAGCATAATTAGTTTCTGTAAATGATTAAAAAACCAGTTCTGCTATGTGTAGTACAGTGGGCAGACCTGGCTCTGTCTTATAAACACTTCCTTTTGAAAAAAAACATTTCTCCATTTCTCCTCCAAAGTCACAATCTTAACCCCAAACTCTATTATTAAACCCCAAAATTTAATAGTGAAAAGTATTCTTTTACTTTTAAATATTATGGCTACCTATTGGAAATTTTTAATTTAGCAAAGGAATAATTTCATAAAATATGATTGGAATGCTAAATACAAAAAAGAAAGTGAAATATCCACATACATTCTCCTAATTTGATCAGGGCTAACCCGAAACAAAATTTCTGATTACTGGTAGAAAACAAAATGTCCCCACTCTCCTTGAAGCTGCAAATAAAATGGAAAGTAATATATATTTTTGTGCAAATGTTCATGTAAAGGTTTTTCTTTATAATGTATTGGGTGCTATTAAAATAATGAATAAGTTCATTAAATCTTGTTCCTTTTTATTAGTTATGTCTTTAAGGATAACAGCTGATTAAACTCTTATTGCTCTTATGTCTGTCATAAATATAGTTTATCATTTTCCTTTTTCCAGTGTCTTGGGCTTGAAAATGCAAAATAAGAGATAATTACAGGAATAGGTGCCTAAATAATCTTGGAACAATTGTAAGTTAGGGTTAACTTATGAACATATATTATCCAATCAATATTATGAAGCATATACTACATACCAGCATTCAAATAGCAGACATGGTCATAAATTGTTTTATGAATAATTAAAAATGAAAGCATCTAACATTCTATTAAAGAAGTACTTTTTACCTGGATTAGATGAGGCAATGCTTTTAGTGTAAGGCAAAACCAAATTCCCAGTTTGCATGGAAGCAAATCATGCCATTGTGGTTTTACTAGCAATCTAAAGAATGGGAGAAACCCAAGCAACAAATCAGAAAAACAGACAAAATTGAGAAACATAATATTTTAAGCAATTATGAAATATTTTATGAATGTCAATTTAAATTAAAAAATAAAGTTTTCAATAACATATTTATGACAGTCATCACTTAATCTGACTAGTCTTCTATGAAATGCAGTAGTTACAAACATGATATATATGTAAAAAGTACAAGAATCCAACCTATAAAATTTTGTGGAAAGAGGTTTTTAATCAAGTTATAAAAATTTAAAAAAAAACTAATTGGAGGGGAGGAGCTGGGGAGATATCTGTTTAAAACACATTATATGAATGTGTGAAATTCTCAATTAAAAAACACAAAAATCCTAAACTCCCCCCATTTAGGCTGGGCTTTCATCACCTCTGCAAAATGAATTCTCAGACCTTATGATTACTCCAGCTATAAAAGACTAGTCATTGTCGAAGTGCTCCAAAGTGCTGACAAGTAGTTACCAATATGGTAGCATAAACAAACCAAGGCATAAAAATTAATGACATTTTCAGTTTGCCTAGGCATTACTCACTGATGTCATAAGATAGAAGACAAACAGAATGGTCTCTGATCTCCATCCCACATTGATCCAGTTCCTGCCCTGCTGTGTGAACAATTCAAACCTTTTATTTCTGTTATGAACCAATGAAAGAAATGTCATATCTTTTTGAGTGTTCTGCATATCACTCACTTCCTCTCTATTTACTGTCAATTCTGAACAGAGACAGATTATTCTAGTAGCATTCTATTTCTAAAGTTCAGTAGAAAAAATTCAAAGTAAAAGACTTTGAGAGGTTAATACTATTTAGATATATGTGAACCCTTTAGAAGAAAAGAAAAATTGTAATTATGCTTAGAAAATTTTGCTTAGAATTTGTCTTGTAAATTATGGCATATGCATGTCTATACCTAAGGCAGGTGTGACAGCATCTCTGAAGAGGATACACACATGAAGTAGAATCATCTTAAATTACATACTATTTTGTGCATGCCTACCTTTCATTTTTTTCAGAAGCACTGAGTTTTGCTGCATCCGTACTTTTGTTTCCTGTCTTCTTCTTCTTTTCTCTCTTTTTTCTACCAAGCAGCTCATCCTTATCATGAAAAGAATGACAATAACTGAGTGATTTCAACATGTATACCTCAGATGCTATAAAGATTCTTTTGTAAAGAGAAAACACTAGAGCATTTATGCAAATGTATGTGGAGTCCAACATGATCAAGTAAACTCATCAGTCTGTCATAATAACTGTTGCCATGGCATCCAGCTTTACAGACACATGAAATTCAACACTGTCAGGCATGTGCATCCCCATGGCAATCAAAGTTTTCTAGGAAGAGAAAGTATTCAACTTACTTTTTATTATTCATGCACCTTTAATTTTAATAGTGCTACTTTAAAAAGAGTGAGTAAATAAATGATAATTCATGAATATCTGATTATTTATAGCATATAAATAAAAATCCATAGCAGAATAAACTATATTGCATATTAGACTGAGGAAGTTTAATAAATCCTTTAACAAACTGATCCCTGACATTATAATAGATATCCACTTTAAATCTTATTTTATGTTTTTAAAGTAAATGCATTATACAAGAAGCCTGTGACAAAAATTTCCCATCAATTACATTAAAAAATTCTACTAAGATGGTAATAATTAGAAGAATATGGCTCTACTTTACAAAGTTTTATTATAAACTCAAATGCTGTATCTTTTTAAAAGAAAGGTTTAAAAATATTCATGTGTTTTTCTTGGCATAAAAATAAATCAAGCAGTAACTAGTGACAGTACAACTATTATGATACGAAGAACAAGTAGGAATAGAAATTTCTATCACTTGAAAAGTAAGTGTCTAGAATTCTATGTAAAATAAAGGAGGCTAGGCCATTTGATTTATCTCCAATACTTACCAGTTGTTTTTCCAGGTAGATTGACCAAACCACAGCATAATGACCCACTGTGAGAATAATGAACAAGAGTAATGCCAGCTCAGCATTGCTCATTTTTCTCACTCGCCTGTAGTAGAATACTGGCTGTCGCCAATCTGGAAGTCCATTGATCAGAATATCATCATACCTGCAGTAGCAAATGTAACAATTTTTTATGGAGAGTTTAAGATAAAGCAAAACCAAAGCAAAGCTAAAGAAAAACTTCATTTGCACCTACATTTAAAACGAAAAAGAAAACAATATCTCTCAGAGGTAACAACTAGAGTTTACCAGCATCGCAGTGCCTAGTAAATTCAAAGCATGGTTAAATGACCTCAGTAACAATCTTCAGGAAGGCCCACAGTATTAATACCCTGGACACCAGATCTCAGGATTTACAGTACCCAGTTATATGACTACTGGTGTGACATGCATACCTGTGTACACTGTCTGTAGAAAATTCTCTACCACAGAATCAGTAACAAAAGTTAGGCTCTCACAGAGGAAATGAAATAAAATAAAATGAGCTATTTGAATTATATATTATTTGAATGAATTACACACTAATTGAATCAAGCTCAGTGTACATTTTTTTGTTCAATACTTTTATGTCTAGCCTCATGATAACAGTAGTTGAATGTTGAATACTGTACACATTATTTTATTAAAGCTCTTAATGACATAAATAAAATGAGTGCCTATGATTTTGCAGAGCTCATGTTCCTTTAAGAACAAAAAGATCTCAAATTAGAGAAGGACATGAAAATAACAAATGTATGTCAGAGTTCACAATAAAACTGCTTATTTGTAAACCCTTAAGTAGCAATTTCCTCATTTGTGGCTTTTGCTGTAAGGGAAGAACATTAATACATAACAGCCTTCCTTATAGATTTAAACAATCATTCTTGGTACTATCAGGCTAATGGAGAAATAAAAATTCAACTGAATTTAAATTTGTCAGTTACTGAACATATATTTTTAAGGTTAAAAATAAGGACTAACATTTATGATTGTGAAACTCAAAATGATCACACACAATGTATGCTTAATACACACAACCTGTTAATCTTAATTGAACACAACTCATTAAATATTCTAATCACACTATTTCTAGAATTAAACCTCCACTGAAAGGCCTAATTTGGTGCAACACATTGACCAAAATATTTTAATTAAAAATGTTCTGAGTTAGTGGCAGGCCTAATTACAGGAATAGAAATAGGACCTATATTGTCAGGCAGGTCAGTAGAGCTCAGTAGTAGGTTTTTCTCAAGTAAATTGACCGATCTAGGAATAATAGCACAGCTGCTAAACTGCCAGTCTTGACATGTAAATCAATTTAAATGCAACAACTGCAGTAGCTACTTTGATAGTTATTAAATTGATACCTTGGAGATATGCTAAAAATATAAAGTGGAGGGTTTATTATAGAAAACTTTTTTCAGTAGAAAAACATTGGTTATTAATGTAAAATATTATTTATTAGTCAATCTTTAAAAACCTGACTTTTAAATCACCTTTAATTATTAATACTATTAGATCAGAGTATCTGAGTAGTAAAAGAAAAGGATATTTACAAGAGTCAAATTACAATATGGTTTTGTGGTGGCAGGGTCAGGCAAAATCTGATGTGAAAAATACTCTCCTTTTCCAGCACTTGTACTGTTCCTTAAACAGTAACTTCATGCTATAACATTATGGAGCCCTAGAAAATTTATTCTGTCTTCAGAATTTTATGTTTAAATCTATCTTTTACAAACTGGCTAATTTAGACCCAAGTAAAAAGGTTATGTTAGTATGCCATAAGACCACAATACTCAAATGAGGTCCAGTGATCGTTAGGTCCCACATTTATGCTGAATTCTCTTCTACATCAGATTTCTTGAGGATGAAAGAAAGTGAATGAAAAAAAAATCCTATTTTCAGAAATATCTCCACTGAAGTAAATTCTAAAAGGTATGGTTAATAAAAAGTATTTGAGAATGGGGAGTTGATTCCTTATTAGCATTAGTACAAATATTAAATTTGCTTTGGACCTAAACTGTATTGGAAGAAAATATAGCTGCACTCATAACTAAGACTTGTCTATCAAGTATTTCATCACCATCACTAGGAAAAGCCACTATTTTTCTATCACACGTATAAATTGTATTTAGTGCACAACCAAATCCAAATGAAAGAAAACATGAAGAAGCAGATATTTACTTGGCTATGCCTGCCACTCTGAAACACAGTGTCCAGGGATTAAGCGTATAGTCAATGCTCTATTGATTTTATTCCAATGAACATTACGGCTCACATAACTGGCCATTTGAAAGGAGAATAGCTTCTATTATAGTTCACTTTTTAGACTGTATATTGTTAAAAGATAAATTACTACCTTCCTGATGGGACACTGAAAAGACAAATATACTTCTTAAAATATACACAGACACTCATAAGTTATTTAAGGAAAAAATGTGTTGACAATACAAAATTTATAACACTTTACCATGTGTTTCTATATTTAAACATATAACGCTCAAATGCTCTGTAACTGAGATGGATACAAACTATTCTTAAGTTTGCATTTAAACCAGATTAAGAATGTACAAATGGATAAATGTGTTAGCAGTTAGACAGAAGCAAATCTCTATCATAAAAAAAAGTCACTAACACACACAAATAAAAGCTGACATGGAGCTTCTTGAAGTTTAAAGCACTAATTGATCAGTTCCACATATTCAACACATGGTCTTATGCACATTTGCTTCATTTGATTTTCTTAAATACACACGATAAACATGAAATAACATTTGCAAAATCATTAGTAGTTCCACTCTAGAATCGCAATTCATCGCCTGCTAGAAATACTGAGGAACAAATTTAAAATAATCTTAAACTACCAGCAGAAAATATTTACATTATTTTAAAATAGAAACAAAATCATAAAATAGAAACAAAATCAAAATGAAAATCTCAATAGTAAAAATGAATAAATAATTCTAGCATTTGTCAAAAAATAGAAAATTGAATTTCCTATTACAGAGAATATGATGTTTTTAGCTTAAAAAATAACAATTTCCATTTTAGGGCAGATTTTAAACCTTTCAGCAAAATTCAGTTGCATAGAGATTATAAACAAGAAATAACAGTAAATTAAGTGATCTTAACTAATTTCCTCTGTGTGTGTGTGTGTGTGTGTGTGTGTGTGTGTGTGTGTGTGTGTATTTGGCGAATCTATTGTGGTATATAGCTTTTTACATAATGCTTAGTTGTCTTACAGCTTCAATTTAGGGAAAGTCAAATTAGATGTCATATTCTCAGATTTGAACAGATCTGTAATGAAATTTACAGTGATTCTGTAATGTATTTATAAACACATTAGTAGATTTAAAGTTAATGACACATTTTAAGCTGCATTTGTACATGAGGCATGATTTTCTTTGGTTCATTAAAAAAATGTTTAAATTTTACTAACATAGTAATATAACAGATAAAGAAAAATTTAAGTTGCATAATTGGATTAACAGAAATACTGGTTTGCTGGGTACTGAGGCACACATCTTTAATCCCAGCACATCAGAGGCAGGCAGATCTCTGTGAATTCAAGGCCTGCCTGGTCTACATAGCAATCTCCAGTACAGCCAAAGCTATACAAAGAGACCCTGTCTCAAAAAACAAACACACACACACACACAAAAAAAATACTAGTTAAATTTATAATATATTTTAAAACAAAAGTATGCACGTTAATATTATGTAAGTATAATCTAGTGTACAGGCAGTAAGTAGTCTTCAGAACTTTAGATAAAAACTTTGGGAACTTGTGTAGAAATTTGTATTAGATCATAGGCTGCTGGTTCTTCAAATGAGCAAATTTGCTACGGAGTTCAGGGAAGAATCCTGTGCTAGGATTCCTTAAACTCACCAGGAAAATCTATTAATTTCATGCTATAATCTATGCATTTGAGGAACGGGGAAGTTTCAAGTTTTCAAATGTTCTTCTAGGAACCTACCTAAGAAATGTCAGTACAAGGACTTTCACAACAGTGTTCATCGCATCTTCAACACAAAGTATTAAAAGTCATAAGTTCATCAAATGGTGAGTGGATAAACAAAATTATTGACACAATAGAATAGTATCCAGTACTAAGAATAAAGCAGTAGAATGTAGTAGAGTATGAATAAAATTCAAAAACATTATGCTAAGGACTATACTTTGCATATTTCTGTTACTATGAAATGAACAGAAAATACAAATTGATAAACACACTAAACAGACCTGTGACTGCCTAGGGCTGGACTTCAGAGCAGGAATTGCCTGCAGATGGGCTTGGGATACATTTTTTGAGGATGAAAATGTTTAAAGACTGGGTTGTGGAGAGAGTATGTCTAACTCTGTACAGTTATTATACATCATTGGATTGAACACCTATAGCAGGTGATTTTCATGATGTGCAATTTATACCTAAATGAGGCCATTACAAAAGAAAATAAAATCTCTTTTTCTGAAGAAAAAGCTATTTCATTTGTTAATGTATTTGTTGCATTTCTATTCCTTTTCCTACCAAATTCAAACAATGCATCTAATTTCAATGAAAACATAATTACATGTCTGAAGAATAAACAGCAAACACTTCTATGATAACTTTCCAAACTAGGTTCATGCCTAGGTTATAATCTTAAAACACTTGCTCAATGTTTATGATAAACAATTGTGTTGGTCAAGTTTATTTTGTGAGAGCTATATGAGACGGTCTTTTAGGAGATGCAGCTGACTATTCTTTCCTTTTGAAGGAATTAGGAGTCTTACTGAAAAGATCTGCACACTCTTCTCTCTCCTGTATGTTTAAATACTCACAGGTCACCTGGCCTCAGGCACAAGCTTTAGAGGAGTGATTCTCAGCTTGATTAGTTAAGACTTTTGCCTCAAGGAAAACCAGTTACCAAAGAGTTACTTGTGCCTCAAGGGGAAATATTACAGATGTTTGTGTAACTGTCAGGTCCATTTTTTTTTTTCTACTAACAGTAAGGTCAATGCAGAGGGAACTATTCCTAAAGAGATTATGTTAGATGAGTCTATGTTAACACAGAAACAATGGATAGGTAAGAAGTGATTTGCTGTGAGAAGATAAAAATGCTTTTTAGTAATTAAAAGAAGTTATTACAAAGTTTACTGACTTTGGAGAGAACAACCAACAAAAAGACAAAATCTGAAGGCAAAGATACTGGAAGAATAAAGCAAGCTAGCTTTACAACACATTCTTGATGTGTGAATCAAAACTAATGGTTCACTAAAGAGAATCTACTGAATCAGTGGAGAGAATGTCCAAAGCTTCCTCAGCCAGATAGCTAGAGGAAGACCTGGACCAAAGCCAGCCAGCTCTTGTTACAAAGCAAAGAACTTCAAGAGTGTCCTTGATTCTCAGACTTTACAACCTGGCCAACTGTGTGGTATTCAAATCAACAGTTAAAAACCAGGAAGGGCAGCTAACATTTTAGGATGTAGAATTATTCCAGACCATATATTTGAAGAAAAGTTTAGAATGTCGCATAATATAATTCTGGGGTTTGTGTGTAAGACGTTAACCACATAAACAAATCAGGTATTTATGCCTGCTTTAGCTTAAATCTCAAATATGTGGGTATTTTCTTTAAGATAACACTGTCAAATTTCCAATGCTGTTCACTACAGTCTCATGAAATCAACTTGTTGGACCCCCAACCAGCATTATTATTGTTTGTTTTTTTAAAGACTAGCGAGTCCAGAATAAAACAAACATTTTGTGTTTTATTCTGGGCTCACTAGTATTTTAAAAAACAAACAAAAAACCAGTTTATTTCACCTACAACAATTTTTCTTGAGAAACTTGCGTTGTATGTGTTCAAAGGGGTAATTTAAAGTGTTTCTTACTGTGGGTCTGATTCTAAGATCTCTGAAGACCTCACACCAGATCCACATTCCACACATTCTACAACAGAGCAAAGGGCTGTGATCTCCTGAGTCACTGGCACTATAAACCACTAGAGTTTATTATCACTGCTCTTCTGAAGCAGAGTGACAGGTCTGTGAGAGGGACTGCTTCAACTCTATGGTTACCAGACACAGGACCACTGTAGCAGACGTAGGGAAGAAGGCAAAACAAAGAACGGGGGCGGGATGTTTTTCCTCTTATCTTCTACAGTTCATGCAAGTCTATCAATTACAACCTGGGCCATCTGAGGTGAAGAAACCTCAGGAAAGTACACTCACATGATTACTAAAATGATCCTCTCAAACACTTACAAGCAGTCAGGAGGGGAGTGGATCCACCAAATGAATTCAGAGAGGAGCTATTTCTAGCATGGGGAAAAGAATGGGAATTCGGTTGAAATCAAGTACTCCTGATTGTTTCCCAGGGCATAAACACCCACATTAAAAGTCTGTTCTACCGAAGCAAAACTTACTAACTTTACTGCTCATGATTCTAGTCTGTAAGTAATGAAACAGCCTAGGAAATAGGTTCAAAAGAAATGAGCTCTGCTCTGCACAAGACTGTAAAACAATGCATTTCTTGGAAGAAACAAAAAACAAACAAACAACCAAAAAAACCTAACCTAAAACAGGACTTTTAAAAGCTGTAGAATGAAACTTGCCCATCCAAACTCAAAAGCACAAATAAGCACTCACCTCTGCCTTCTTTCATCATCCTTTAAAACTTCATAAATGGCCACCAACTAAAACAGAAGCATTACTTTAAAATAAAAATACTTTCAACTGTAAGAAATCACACAGGAGGATGAAAGTTCTATAACGCACATGCAGAGAACCCCATGTGCTCATCTATGCAATAAACAGTAAAAATCCAATTATAAGTAACATTTTATGTTTTTGGAAGCAATTTTAAAAACTGATTGATATCAAAATGAAATTTTGTGAAAGGTGTAAAAGTAACAGTTTACCTTTAAAAATTTTAAGAGTAAGAGCACAATTTAGACAAGAAAATTATGACAATCATGACCCTCCAACAACTAAGAAACTTTAAATGACACAAAATGTTGAAAAAAGAATTCCATTAAAAATCAAAAAATCTAAATGTTATTTATTTAAATGTCATGTTCAAATGAAAATATTCTATTTTTAGAATTCATATTTCTAGCATAAGCATATTAATACAACTGTCACTGTAATAAAATTACATTTCACTTACTTGTCTAAACTGAGTGTCTGCATTCTCATCTTTATTCTTGTCTGGATGTAAGGTTAGTGAAAGCTTACGATATGCCTTTCTGATGTCTGCAGACGAAGCATCCTGGGTTGGGAGGGGGAGGGGAAAATACAAAGCAAACTTTGTCAGAAAGAGAAATTCCCAGAACCTTGTTAAGATCTGAGAAGACAGCCAACCAAGTGCAGGACCCCAGGCAATGTAATTTGAGCAATCAGCCTAACAACCACGCTATGCAGCTAGCCTGACCCACATGACTGAACAATTATTCAATCTAAATTGGCTCTCCTCTTAACTTTCATTACCATAGTCATTTAAAGAAGATGGTATTTGGCAAAACTTTTCCAACACTTGCCTCCCTAAAATTAACCAATAAATCTTTTCTAGTAATTAAGATATAAAAAAGAGACAAATTAAAAATTAATGTATCTGTGTGCTATCAAAGAACTTTATTATTTACTTGAGAATCTTAAAACCAGTTTCTGAAGCCCAAGCTTATAGATACATAATATTTTTTTAATTATTTCTACTGAAGTTATCATCCAGCAACAACTTATGGAAATCCAATTTCATATGTCAAGAAATGTCGATTTGAAGGGAATTAAATTTGCACAATTCAAACAGTTGTAATTACAAACAGTCATGTACTTTAAAGGGTATTTCCACCATTCTACGGTCTCCCCAGTCTGGTTGGTAGAAAAAAACTTGCCCATTATTCATGCATGACTAATACAGTTTAAAATATATACAAGGTCACAGTAGTCCAATGCTTTAGATTAGGATGTTAAAATAATAGTAATATTATTTGTGAAGATAAAATAAGAAAACATCATTTACATGGCTAGAATAAACACACCAAAGTTCAAAACTTCATCTCTACTATGTTTAAAAACAGATTCTTAAGGCAAGTGATAAGAAAAGCAATTTATTAAATTGTCTGATAGCTACCTGTCCAATTAATTACTAAAATTATTTTACTAAAAAGCTCAAATAACTGAAAACCCAAACTAACACAAAAATCTATATACCAGGGGCCAAATAGTTGCTGAAGAAACAGATTGGGAGAAAAAAAAGAAAAAAAGACTACAATTAGTCTGTCAAAGCTTTCCTTTATAAGCCATTATTTCCACTGTTAGTGTGTGTGTGTGTGGGGGGGGGGGACTCACTGCTTCAGGCTAGTATGCTACCCTAGGTGTGACTACCTCTAGGACTTCTAAGGGCTGAGGAGCTAAAAAAACAACCAAGTAAATCTTATAGGTAATATATTTGTATTATTTCATTTTAAATTTGCTTAAGGAAAGGATGTGCTTCCCACATTAGATGACAGGTAATACATGAAAGAAAGGGGTTATTTAATGGAAATCTATGATGAAATTTGTCATGAAAAGAGGTCATGTGTCAAATGAATAAACAGTCTTTAATTAAAAATTAAATATAATTTTATTAAATTAATACTGTATGAGAAAAAATCCAAAAGCAGATTTTTTAAATAAAATGAGTTTATATATTTTTCATTATAAAATCACATACATCATATAACATCTATGACTTGAAAATAAAAATTACTACAGGTCACCAAAGGCATTTCCTTGCTTCTGGTCTTGTCTGCCAGAATTTTCTGTCACAGTATGCATCCCAAATATAAATACAGCCAGATAGTTCTGTTTCAACACCTCCAATTAAATTTAGCAAAAGAGACCACTTAAAATCTCTTTGGCTTATACAGAAAAAAAACTTGACAGGGTGATGGGTGAGCTGACCGACTAATGCTGATATCAAGAGATGTACTACATTAATTTGCCATGATTCTATTACCTCTAAATCTGATATAGTTCACTAGCAGGCAAAATATGAATTATCTTAACACTTGGATAACCTCTGTAATGAAGAGACATATTGTCACTCTTAACATTTTTTAAATGTAATATATGCTAGTCAAAATGGAATGCTGTGATGAAGCATCAGTGAAGAGGCAGGATAGAGAACTCCAAGGGCTGCCCCACCATAGACACAGTGAATAACCCGGCAAAACTGTCAACTTTATCTGAACCCTGGAAACCAGTCAAAGCTTATGGCAGTCAGGCAAGCACTTAAGATTACATGAAGCTCATTCTCAGTAAGGGTTCTGAAGGCACCAACCTCCATTTATGGTGTGAGTTCCCAGTGCAGGAAAAAGCACAGCTGACCTGTTCTCAAAGAATTATGGTTGTTTTGACCTGTCTGTCTATTCTGATATTTTTAAAGACTATCCTTTTTTGTTTTAAATCAAGTTTAGAATTCTAAAAGTGTACAGACAACGTTTGTCAAGAACATTTAAAGGTGACCAATGAAGTGTTCTGTGGTTAAAGGCCCTTATGACCAAATCTGATAAACCTGAGTTTGATTCCTGGAGCCCACATGACAGAAGGAGAAAACCAACTCCTTTAAAATTTCTCCTGACCTCCATAAGGATGCTGCAGTGTGTTGACTAACTGCATGTGTGGGTGTGGGCACGTGCACCCATACTCACACACACACCCACTAAATGTAAAATAAAACCATTTAAAGGAGAATTGAATCAGTGCTGTGGAATAATCCTTTTGTACACTGTAAAGATTTGTCACTCGAATTGGTGTAATAAACAGCTGACTAACCAGTAACCAGGCAGGAAGCATAGGCGGGACAACCAACCTGAGAATGCTGAGAATGCTGGGAGGAGGAAGAAGGGCAGAGTCAGGAGTCACCAGGAGATGCAGAGAGAAGCAAGATGGGCATGCTGTACTGAGAAAAGGTACTGAGACATGTAGCAAAGCATAGATAAGAAATATGGGTTAATTTAAATGTAAGAGTTAGCTAGTAACAAGCTATTGGCCAAGTATTTACAATTAATATTAAGTTTCTGAGTGATTATTTGGGACCACCTGCTGACACAGGGAAACTCCATCTACAAATCAGTCAAGGGGTAACAGTTGGGAAGAAAGACTTTGGGGAAGTGTCTTTGAAATGCTCCTTCAAATTCCTCGAAAACTAGAAGACTGTGTGCATGCCCAGAGAAGAACATGTGCTTAGAAAGACCAGGGAAAGTGCTGAAGTTCTCACCACTGGTTATCTTCCAGCTTTGTGTAAGCAGCAAGCACAGGCTAAGAAAGAGTTGTCAATACCCAGTTGAGCACTGAAAGATGCTCCAGGAGTTCACTGGCTGTGGTGGTTTGAATGAGAATGGCCCCCATAGGCTAATATAGCTGCATGTTTACTCCCCAGTTGAACCGTTTGTTTGGAAGGATTAGGAGATGTGGCCTTGTTGGAGTAGGTGTGTCATTGTTGAAAGAGGTGTGTTGTGGTGGGCTTTGGGGTTTCAAAAGCCCAGTGTATGTCTGTCTGTCTCCACACTACACACCTCCCTCTTTCTGCCTGCTGTCTGTGTGGATCAGAAGGTAAATTTATCAGCTATTGCTCCACAAGCTTCCTGCCATGACGATAATGGACTAACCTGAAACTATAAGCAAGCCCCTAATTAAATGCTTCCATTTATAAGAGTTGCTTTGGTCAGGGTGTCTCTTCACAGCAACAGAACAGTGAATAAGACACTGGCCAAGCCTGGGACAGTCTCATTTGTCTCCTCCTCACTTCTGTCTTACCTCCTCCTCACCTCTCCCATGTGCCTTAGGGATCTCTACAAAACCACTGGCTGACTACTAATCTAAGCAGAGTCCAATGGCCACACACAGCCGATTATGGACATTCTATAAACTTAGTTTAGAATAGTCATTAGACAAACAGCACAAGCTCTAGGGAGGTAGGAAAACATAATTGCCATGTTATATATTTTAAATGTCTACAATTATACATACATTTAAAAAACCGATAAAGAATGCAAAGAAAGAAGAAAACTGGTTAATACACAAGAGAAAAAAAGAAATTAATAGCAGTTGTCTGACAAGTCTAAACATTGGACCTACTAGACAAAGGCTTTAACTCATAATATGGTCAAAGAGCATGTACAAACAATAGAGGAGAAATAAGGGAATACTCTCTTTCCAAATCAGAGTATCAGCAAAAAGACAGAAAACTTTAAAAGGTCCAAACAGAACTACTTCTAAACTTCAAAACTACAGTAACTGAAAAGGAAATGTCACTAGGTCAAGCTGAACAGCAGATCTTCATGGATAAAAGAGACTCAGTGAACATGAGGATAAGTCAGAAAGATGAAAGAAAACACAGATCCTGGAGACCTTTAGGATACTATGGAGAGTACCAACATGTATGCAATGAGTCCAGGAAGGAGAAAGAAAGGAAAAAGGATGCAGTTTTAAAATATCTGCAGAAAAAAAAGAGGAATGCAAATTCAAAAATTTTGGAAGATATGAATCTCCACATCTAAGATTCAAGAAGCTTTAAGTGGGGTAAAATACAGAAATCCAACACAAATATTATCAACAAAATATAGCAAAATCAAGGGCAGGTGTGGTGGTGCATGCATTTACTGCTATCACTTGGGAAGCAGAGGCAGGAGGATCTGAGTTAAAGGCCATTACAAAAGGAAGCACTAACAGGAGAACTGAGAAACAAGATAAAAGGCATCCCCATACACATGCACACAAAAGAAGGAAAGAAAGAAGGAAGGAAGGAGGGAGGGAGGAAGAGAGGGAAGAAAGGAGGGAAGGAGTAATTGACAAGATGCATTAAAATAAATTTTAAAAAAGAATGAGTAATAGAAGACCATTCTAAGTAACAGACCAGACAATTGTATTCTAGACTAAAACAGAAAACTTTAGAGATACTTTTTTTTCCATTATGTTTAGAATGCTTAAGACTGACACAAAAAAATCCATAAAATACCAGGATTTTATCACTGGTGGAGACTTTGTACTGATGATTTTAGGAAGATTTTCATTCATTAAAAATTGGTTATAGGCTGGGCATGGTGGCACACGCCTTTAATCTCAGCACTTGGGAGGCATAGGCAGGTGGATCTCTCTGAGTAGGGCAGCCTGATCTACAGAGGGTGTTCTAGGACAGCCAGGGCTACAAAGAGAAACCTTGACTCAAAAAAAAAGTTGATAATGATTATTTTTCTCTTTTAGTCTCTCTCTCTGTCTCTCTCTCTC